TTTTTTGGGATTTTTTTTTTTTTTGGGGGGGGGGGGTGAAAATAAATTTTTACAAATTTTATGATTTTATTAATGAAAATGGTTTTGTTATTTAATCATTTTTGGTGGCTTTGGGGAGGGGGGAGGTACACACAAACTGGATATGCCACTGGCTACAATCAGTATTTAGGTAGGTATTGAATCAATTAAATCAAATTTTATTGCTTGGTATTTTCAAATTTGATCATATTACTGAAGATTTTTTTATTTTACACAGTGATAACAATATGATAATGATATACTACAGTACTATTATAATTTACAATAGATTGGAAATAGGTAACTAGACAGTAGGTAGCATTATAGGTAATTTTTAAATTTATACCCAACTCAAGATTACCGCCTGCGACTCACTATCTGTATTTGTTTTGACTTTTGGCTCTAGTGGTCTATACATTTGTAATAATATGTTTCTTACCTCACAATAAAATCTACACAATATGTTGTTTTGAAAACTGTAACATTTGAATTTATACACATTCCACAAATAATATCAAGTAGGTAATGTTATTTTAAGAATTATAACGGTATAGAATATAGATATTGGCAATAAATTGTTATCATCGTTATCATAATACGTTCTGATGCAGCACACATCCCTCTTCCGCCACCAACCCTGTGAATGAATTGTTATCAAATACTGGCAACTGGCGTATGTTTATATCTTTCTTTTATTTTCCGTTCTATTATTCGCAAGAATGTACCGTGTGTTTAGTGGCTAAACATTTTTTACAATGAAACAAATCCACACGTCGATCATTAATCTTCTATGCATGAGTTATTCGTTTGTGTTCGATGTCAATCCTATTCCACTACCAATTTCAATTTAAGTTTTTCGATTTGTGGTTTTGATCTACACGTTTCACAACAATGGATTATCCGATTCCTAAAGGTAAACAATTTTACAAAATTCAACTAGTTTAATTCTTAAACATTCACATTATGATTACTTGTTGGTCTTTCGCCTAGGAGAACAATATTTACTCTAAAATAGCAATCATAAGATTAATTAAGGTCATAAACTATATTAAATTTAGGTTAAACATATTCCAATTATTGTTGAAGTTTGAATTTAAATATATATCTAAATAATAATACAATTAACTAACTGGTTAAATTATATACTTTGAACTGTATTTTCTGTAAATACTATTTTTAAGTTATTAAATTATCATTCATTAAAAGTGGGTAGTTTAGGTTGATTTCTAAGCTGGTGTATCTACAACCTATCTACCTATAAAAATATGGATGTAATTGATCACTTCGAATGGTTTTTATAAAAATTATTAACATGAATATCTAAAGTTAAATCCTAAAATAATTTTTGTAACAGATATAATGTAATATATTTATGTATATCTACATAATTCTTCTTCTTATTAATTATTTAAAAAAATAATCAGTTGTTTTTAATTCTAATAATTCTAATAATACGTATGTAAAATAAGTATCTCCCAATAAACAATTTTAATTATATTTAAAAATTAGAATTTCAGTATTAATTTTAAATTATTTAATAGTATGTTATTATCAATTAGAATTACTATGCTTTAAATGGAGTTGTTAATTAAACATTTATAAGAAATTCTATTTGATATTTGATCTTAGATCATATGAATTTTGTTTGGATGAATGGAGACAATAATATGTTTATTCCTCATCCTGAAAACGAACATACTACATCAATAGATCCGGTGTTCTATGATAACTCTATGCCACAGACGGAAACTATTCAACCTAGAATGGTTAGTATACATATTTATAACTATTCTAACATTTATTTTTATATATAAATACATGTCATATTTTTAGCATTGAGTTATATATAACTTATTATAATTTAATATTCACATATTCCAGTAAAATTACAATAATCAATAAAAACTTGTAACATGTAAGTAAGAAGCTGATTTTAATTACCATACATACTTTCTAGTAATAGCTATAGTAGTATAGTATACCCCCAAATGATTTCATTGTATCTTAGTCTTGACTAAAGATGAATTATCAGGAGGGGTTGAATCCAAATTTAATCCTGTTATTTGTTATAAATATCCATGATTTAGATATTGATTTAAAAGTATTTCATTATAATATACTTAACTGAAGAATATTTTATTAAATAGTTTAAAATGTCTTAAAATATAATCGACTCAACTCATTACAGACCAGTAAAATAGTGCTTAATGGTTGTCTGAGTTAGTTACTCATTACTACCATCATCGTTACATGGTATTTGTATAGTAAAAAAATAAGATATTAGTGAATTAAAAATATCTATCAGTTTGATATTATTTGAATACCTATACATTTTATTGCACATGTATATCATAATATTTGCATTATGCAGGGGAACAAATATTTTTTAAATGTGATGTATTTGACATAAAAGGACGTCATAACCGCATGTGTTATCTCTGTCTTACAAGTAATGTAAACCATAACAAAAATGTTTTTGTGTGACATGACTTTACTCTCTCAATATTTATATCAGAATCTTCAAAATTTTAAACTGCTTTGAGAAGAACTTAATCTTTGTTGTAGTATTTAAATTCTTTTAATACTACCTTATAATTTTTAATAGTTAAATTAAAAAAACAAACAAAACCTAATGTTCTCAAACCAATAACTTTAATATTGTATTCATGTTATCTAAAAAATAAAAACCTTAACCTTAACATAGGTAAAGTTCTTCTTTATGTCTTGCAAAATGTTGACTATTTTATTATAAGAATAGTGCAAGTTGTTCCATACAAAACAATTTTTACCTGAAATTTGCCACGTTGTTTGTTTGTAAGACAGAGACAAACATGTGGGTAAAATGTCCTCTTATTGACTTTGAGTTAGGTATTAAGAATGATATACGTCTGTATATAATATTAGTTATTTATTTTAACAGAACTTAATTAAATTATATGTTTAGGAATTGAACAATTATATGTTATACAATCATCCAAAGGATGTGGATAACTCAAATGGAATATGGAAATTCCAAGCTACACGTAGTATTCAGAATATTGGGTTTTGTGAACAAGGAAGAAAAATAAATGTACCTAGCTCACGAAAAATTAAACCTATTCAAAATCCTGCATTAAAATTAAAAACTCCTATTGCATATCAAAGAGATTCAGATCCTAACATGTTACCCATTGAAAAAGAAGGAAGAGGTAAAAATAAACATTGTTTTACTAATTTATTTGGTAACAATATAAATATATTTTTTTTTCATTTATTAAATTAAAAATGCTTCAGCACACTGAGTGCTATTACAAGTAGTTATGTGTTAATCATGAGTTAGATTAAACTATGTACATGATTTTCTAATTGATACAAATGAGTAAATTATAGTTTGAAACAATATTTTAAATAGTATCCATTTAAACTTAAAATGATCATGAGGGTTTGAGAACATTTGATTTAGATTTATAAATTGTATTCATCGCAAAAAAAAGAAGCATAAATAATAACTAGGGCTGGGATTTTAGTGCCCTAAAAAAACTCAAAAAATGTCCTAAAAACTCTAAATAATGCCCTAAAAAAATGCTTTTATGATCTACAAATTTTTTTATTTTTAATAATTTTAGTATAAATTACAATAAAAAGTTTTAAAAAATGCATTATAAAAA